GTCTGAAGATGGTCTTAAGGCTTTACCGCATGCCATTTGTCAAACTTTCTTTGGACAAGGCAAGTGGACTCCTTGATCTGGTTAAATTAACTGTCAACATAAATGCAGTGGTGGGAAGAAAATAAATAAAAGCTGAAAAAAAATCGACAGTTATTTATTTATTTATTTATATCAGGTCACACTGAAAGTGCCAGGATAAAGCTACTCTAAGAGCATGTTTGCAGTGCAGATTAGTAACCTCTCAAAACCAATAAAGAACTGTCCTGCACTTCACCTTTCATTGACAACTTTCTGTTTTCCTTTGCCAATTTATCTCTGGTAAGTGAGCTAGAAACTTACCGTAAAAGGTACAGTATTGGAAATATAGCAAGCAAATGTCATATTTCAGCAGAAATGAAACGGATACAGAATTTATGAGCAGGCCTAAATATGATCATACACTCTAGCATGTTTGGTTCTGGTAATATATTACATGTGACAGGTATAATGTATTTTCTTGTTAACATTCTGGACAGTCATTGATGAAAATGGCATAGAGATTTTTCAAGAAGTGATCTTGATTTTATGAAGCTTTGTTTTGTTTTCTAATCTAGTTCTGTCCTAGATTGCAGTCTGTTGAATCATCTGCTGTTTGCAAACACTACATCAAATGATAATAACACAAAAAATAAAAAAATTAAATAATGTGGCAATATACATGTTGCTACGCAGCTAACAGGGCCATTCATCCAAAGTTCTCTGGTCCCCCTCATAGTATTTTTTTTAAATGTTACTACTTGTTTCACAGAACATTTAAAATAAATCAGAAAATATTTGTAAAATGTTATTTTCCTTTAATGTCCGCATGACCAACATGTTTCTAAAACATTTTAAAAACTGGATGTTTAGAATGTTCAGAGAACATTCAGAAATAACATTTTTAGAACTTCATGGGAATGTTATCAAAACGTTTATAGAACATATTTTTGTTTGCTGAGTACCCAGTAACAGGGAACATTATCGGAATGTTCTGGCATGGTTATCTCTAAGTTATGAACAAACATTCTTCCAGTAATGTTAATAGAACATTTGTTCAAATTTATCTGGTCATTAATCTTTGTAAATGTGTACAAGACTACTAGAATGCATGTTACAATTTGTTGACTGAAGAATTCTTCGCATCACAGTGTTTTTACCCTTTCATTCTATATTTCTCAAATTGTCTCCCCAATCTGCAGCCTTTGTACTTACTGTAATATACTATTTGAGAGATATTTCAGGTCCATGAGACTGACAGCAGAGATATTCATCGATAAAAAGAAGAAATTGGTTCTTCAAAATGTGTGTAAAGACAAGAAACTTCAGTGTAATTGTTCAGGATCGAATACTGTAAATAGGTTAAAAATGATTAAATGTTATATGTGATTTTTAAGATAAAACAGGATTGGGACAGCTTCTGAGATTTTGTTTTATTACTGTGGTTTGCATTTTTGCTTTATCATCACTTTAAATGGCATCACTAATCTGCAGCATGTATTGTGGCCTCAGAATTAAATTGCATTTTAGTGAGGAATAATGTATTTAATGGACTATATTGTCATCCACTTTTCCCATAAATAAGGAAGACATTGGGCTTCATTCGTGAAAGATGAGCAAAATGAATTTTAGTGTAAATCAGTTATAAATCAATTGTTATTTAAAATGTAGCATTTGAAAAATGTATTTCATTTTTTAAGTCCTACCTATTATTCATGAATGAGGTCCAATATGGCATTAAAAGTGTCCAATGTTGAATTTTCAAATGCATCGTGATTGAATTCTGCAACTTTTCAAAGCACACAAGAACAGCTACAGACTACTGACTTTAATTAAAGAGTTTTACTGTAGAAATGTAATGGATGAGAATGTACTCTGAGTGCGAATATCCAGACAACCCAGCTTTCCATCTCCTCTCTGTTTATTTTCTACTTCTCTTTCCTCTGATTTTGGAGGTGATGTGCAATGTGATGCATAAAACATCAGAAGATCTACTTTTTTTGGCAATTCAGTTTAATACACGGTGGAGTCTTATCTCCAGCCCTAACCTCCCTTTATCCCTATAAATGTAAAGATGTCGCGTACAGTGGTACAGCAATCACGGGCTGTCAGGTAAACTAAGACCACAGGCAGAGTTCACAGCTAAAAAAGCTTTTTGTGATTTACTTTGCATATCGGTTTAAGTGCGTTATCACCCAGTCCAGGAATATCAGGATAAAGTTAGTTCAGTTTGCAATATTTTAAATGCAAGTAAGCACTGCTCTTGGTAGTTTCATGAATAAAAACACCTCTTTACATTCTGTATCTTACTGAGCATTTGTTATTTTCAGGAATACCAAACACCCCCCTCCCCCCTTAACGGGATAATAAAGGCGAGTTGGATTTGAATTTGTCCTTTTGCAAATGCTGCAGATCTGCTGCCTGTCACAGTGTTTGATGTTGGATTTTACAAGCTATAGTGCTCAGCAAATAATCCTGTGGACTAGTTAATTTCTAAGACCTTTGACCTTTGACACTTTTACTGTCATACAGTTAATATGAATGCAATGACATTCACTGTCAACATTATGGATCATTTTTAACACACAAACAAACAGAATTTGGTTAAAGTTTAAGGCAAATAAAGGCAGTAAAAAAAACAAAAAAACTAATCTGTACCGGTACCGGTGGTACAGATTACTATATACTTTGTTTGTGTTTTTTGGGGGGGGGGGGGGGGGGTAGTATTGCTCCAGCCGTAGGGGCCCCGGAGTCCCCAGATCCGCCATGGCCTCCGGAGTCCCCAGATACGCCATGGCCTCCCGATTCCCCTGCTCCGCCATGGCCTTGGCCTCCCGATTACGCTGCTCCGCCTTGGCCTTGGCCTCCCGAGTCCCCTGCTCCGCCTTGGCCTCCCGAGTCCCCTGCTCCGCCTTGGCCTCC